GTACAACTTATTACTACGTACACAATAGTATGCTGTGTGAAGATACTTTCTTGTACGTACACGATGGTAAGCTATAAGTACCACAATGAGATATTATGTTGTACATACAAGATAGTTAAACAGTTCCAACAATATATATAATACCAAAATAATTGAATGGATATGTTTAGTCGATTATACATAATATTGTCAGCCGAAAAAAACCTTTATCGTTCTTGTTTAATGATATGATTAATATCGCCCGGGCGGTTAGGAAGGTTACAATAAAAAGTATTAATTTTCAGATCATCTATAACGAGTGGTCAGTAATATAATTATGCAACTTATGCTAGTATATTTCCGCCGAGCGTTGCAAGTTGCAACTTGGGGTTTTGCGGAGGTGGTAAAATAAAAAAACACACTTTAGGGTCAAGATACAAAGTAGACGAACTTAGCGATGCCAACAAATATTGTTTTAATAAAGAAAATATAGTAAAAATATCAGATAACGGAAACCCACAATATTTGCTAGGATGCCGTATGGGATTTGTGGGGCTTAGCCCCGGATTTTTTTTTATACAAGCTCCGTGCATTATTTCATGCATTTTAAAATGTTAATATGTTCCCATTCCCGGCCGATCAGACCATTTCGGGCCGGCCCGGAAAAGGTCAGTCCGCCGCCAAAAGGCGGAATGGCGGCCGTGGCGGCTATATAACAACACTTTGTCAGGACCATGAGCAGTCGATCATTCCTATTAAGTTAAAGTTCAATAGGCCCAGTAGATGTTGACTTTAAGTTTGAATGCAGCTAACAGGTGACCTAAAAAATGGTGGTAAAAAGGCCATTCGTGGATGTACAATCATGAAACAATGACTACGTTTTCAAAACGTCTATGAAAAATACGAATAACAAAATCCTTAACTTGCATACATATATATATATAATAGAAATACACAATGTATTGCATTTTATAAATAGAAATTTTGAAGAAGGCGACTGATCAGGTATTCTTTATCTGTCCCCTGTATCACGCAATACAAGTTCCACATGCAACCCCCACAGCGATTCCTAAAGCACTTGCAAATGGCAACTGAATCTGCAAGGTAATATGAAATATTAAAGTGGTTATAATTTGAATCGAAGCTTACTTTGGCTTAGGATCCGATTGGTTGTATCACGTGTCTGATTAACAATACCATGAATATGTGAAACTTTGTGTGTGTTACGTTAGCCTATCAATCAGATTACATGGTGAATAATACATGTTGCTTTGTATCCTCAGAGATGTTGATTCCTTTACCTGTCCTTGCCACTATAGGAATATTACGTTAATAACATTGATAGTGTCAGATGAATGTAACACGTAACACACAGGTTACTGCACGTTTACGTTAAGTGGACCAATTACGCTATGCCACATACAGCTGTCTATTCAAATTGGTGTACGTTTAGCTCAAGGGTAAGTGTCTTTGTCCAACGACGTGAATATACTCAAGACTTTAGAATGCAGTTCTCACAAAAGTGGACTCCAACTAGCAAAATTGTATTGAAAGTTAATTGTCGAATTGACTCTGCATTGATGAAAATGCATTCAAAATAATTTTATTGTCTGTGAATGACTTTATAAATTGTCTGTGTGTTACCTTATTGTCTGTGAATGACTTTATACATTGTCTGTGTGTTACCTTATTGTCTGTGAATGACTTTATAAATTGTCTGTGTGTTACCTTATTGTCTGTGAAACAGAGTATTGTCTAATAAAGCTCAATATAAATTTGTATATCACTTTATATTATTAAAAAGATATTTCATTTCAGAAGATACGGGCATACTGTATAGTTGATTCTTGGTATTAAGTTTTATTTTTTTTATTAGTCAGGTAATTGTGGCAAAAATGTAATGTTATTGTGGCACCTTGTAACAAAGTGAGGCTCTTGATAATAAAAATAATAATATACAACATTTATATAGCGCCCTATTTAATTTGTAAAATTACTCTAAAGCGCTTTACTACATATGGATATTAGTAATAGTTGTAATTGTGAAACAAAAGCTTACAATCACTTTCATACATTTAAGCAAGCAATTTGCACATAATTGAACAAATAAAGGGTGGTATTTACATGACCTCTTTGCAGAGACCCTAAAATGCAGACGTGAAGAGGTGAGTTTTGATGTCCCTCTTGAATTTGGCCAGGGTATTTGACTTTCTAATAGCAGATGGTAAGTGATAGTGACACATCTGATAGTACTGTCTTATGATGATAAATACTATCCCTATTGGTACACAGTATGTGATCAATACAACTTCCAACAACCCCTTAAAGATAGCTAGACAGCATCCTATTCCGTCTTTGCGTATTGCAGAGTTATCTTCTCTTGAGAGTAGGTATTGATTGTTACGTCATTGGTTTATGCAAGAAAATTACGTCGTTTTCTCAAAAATTGATGACAAACACAAACAAATGACGTAACAATCAATACCTGCTCTGAAGAGAAGATAACTCTGTAATACGCAAAGACGGAATATACAACACACAAAGCCACGAAATATGACAACAATGTAATGAAAGTATGTTCATTGTGTATTTATTAATTTTAGCTCCAAATATCCATCAAATATAAAACAAAGAAATAAACAGTAAGTGTAAGTATGATATGATATACCATCCATCTAGGATCAACACATGTACGTGTTAAATCAATTCTAATCAGGACTTCAATACAAAACAATTAAAACATGAACACTTAATGAAATGTAAATGAATTTAGAGTGAATTATCACGGATAAGAAACACTCGTAGTGGCTCCTTAAACAGCTGTTCTCCCGGTGATATAGTTCTCATTGGAATTATCTTCAATGGATAGATCAGTAATATCCATTTAGTATTGCATAAATACTACTCACTATCAATTGCACTTCAAGTAATGCTAACACTTTGTTTTAAGCTTGTTTAATTAAATGCAGATCAATAAAATCAGTAATAATGATCCAAGTTAACAGACATCAGCCATGACATGCAGGAATGGTAAAAGGTTCACATCCACAACTGATGTCAATGTTGTATCTATATTGTCTTTCCCATCACATTTGCTGTTTTTAACGTAGCCGTCAGTTAAATTTGCACTTGGAAAAGTCCATTTCTGGATGTTGTGTCATAAACCTGAAGCAGACAATGTTACAAATAATTAGAATTTTTTGATCAAATACAAAAGACAAAAGAACTAATTATGGAGTCCGGCTAAAACTAGTTCTATTTAATATCTGGGAACACTGGTGCAACTGACATTTTCATGCATTTCTTTTTTAACTTTTCAACTAATATTTTGATACTAAATACATGTTCCATACCCTTTGTTATTGTCATTTCAAATGAAAAACGGTTAGATCAATGGAAAGGAATAATTGATACATTGTGTTTTAGCAAGTATATTCTTTAACAAACATTGGTATTATTTTCAACAGTAAAACTCAAGCAGACCTTTCCCAACATGTTTAGAAACATTTATTCAAACGTACACTTTTCCTATTCAAAGCACACTTCTAGTTATTCAAACCTTAGACAACAGAATAATTTCAAACCTTCAATTCTCCTGTTCAACACAACTGTTATAACTGGGCTGGAAGTTGATTTTAAAACCCACAAGTCAACTGGTCTAGTAGATTTCTCTTTTACTTGTCCATTTGCCAATTCCACTAACCCAATATCCTTCAACACGATACGGAATATCAAATTTTGACTAGTCAATTAGACTAGCAGTTTTAGAACCATTAATTACTCCATCGGCACATTTCACAAATCTCAGACTACCCTTATTTTCTAACCCTGTAACATTGGCTTACTTTTTCATGATGTCTTCCTTCTTTTTTTCCTCCGAGGTAGGCAGCCCCATCTCCTTCTGTCGCTGGTCATACATCATCTTTTCTACCAGTGATCGTGTGTCTCCATCCAGATCAGACAACTAGCAGACGAAAAAAACAACACACCATTGACGTTAGTTTGAAAAATAAAAACCTCAATTAAGTTTTCTTTCATACAAAACACATCTCTAAAGAACAGTTTGGAATACTTCCATTATTGATTATAGAATGCATTAGTGTTATAAGCAGCATAAAATCAAATTACAGATTATTTAAAATCAATATACTGGTATATTTCTAATAACTACTATACATAAACTTGACAAATTGGCGTTTCGTTGAACAGACTCTAAGCTGCGGGCTTACTTTTGAGTTCTCCGGTGACACTTTCTTGGTGTTGATCTCAGGTTCTGTTATAACAATCCTACTCCACCACTCCATCTTGTTTATCTAGAGGGAAGCAATACCAAAAACCAATTAGAACCATACCAATTCAGAAATAGTAGGTGATGTTGACTAATTTCTAGAGGATAGCAATAACCAAAACCAAAGATTGAACTAGAACTGTAAGTCAAAAGCTTAGGTAGCAGTATACAGTAGAGGGTTGTGGCCATGGGTGATATTTTTGTTAAATGGCTAACCCCTGTATAATGATATGTAAAAAAAATATAAAAATAAAACTGTTCTAAAATTGGTATAAGCATGATGAAGTGGGCTATGTGAGCTTCACATTTGTAAAAAAGAAAGAAGATTTTTTTGGTTCGAGAATAAAATTTTGGCCATAATCCGAAAGGGTGCGTACACATGAAAAGCTAGCTTTACAGGAGGTAAAATTTTGACAACAGCACACGACGCAAAATTGCAAAAAATCAAGTTTTACAACTTTACTGGGACCCAGATAATTCTGCAACCAGGTAGGTAATCTTTAATTTCAGACAGAGCTTAGGAAAAAAATTACTAGTTGCGGGGGTCAAATTTTGGGTTAAAAATAGCAATTTTTGGCATTTTTTGGTAATTTTTGATGTGGTAACCATGGTTTTCACACAAGTGACATACATAGAAAAAAGAGGTTTATACACTTCTCAGTACTTTATATGTATTGTAAATGTAATGCAGTTTACAAATATATATACATGTATACATGTGTTGTGTAGGGTAAATCCGCTGTGTTTACATTTCCTCGACATGTGCCTTGTTTATCAGAGTCGGGCCATTTTTACTGTATACTGCTACCTTACTAATGCCCCCCGCTGCTAAATAAACCAGAACTGTAAGCCAAAGGCTAACTAATACCCCTGCTGCTATATAAACCAGAACTGTCAGCCAAAGGCTAACTAATACCCCCGTTGCTATATATAAACCAGAACTGTAAGCCAAAGGCTAACTAATACCCCGCTATGTAAACCAGAACTGTAAGCTAAAGGCTAACTAATACCCCCCGCTGCTATATAAACCAGAACTGTAACCCAAAGGCTAACTAATGCCCCGCTATGTAAACCAGAACTGTAAGCTAAAGGCTAACTAATACCCCCCGCTGCTATATAAACCAGAACTGTAAGCCAAAGGCTTACTAAGGCAAAGCATTGCATTTAGAAATTCATAGTATCCCACCAGTAATGATTTCTTTATTGACTGAGCTGTACACTTATTTAAGTATACTTGTCACTGACTAACTGTCCCTCCCATGCCAAAACTTACTTACATGTACATACCAAATCTTGCTAGGCCAGATGAACAGGTTTGCTAAAATTGACCTATTAGTCAAGTAAAAGATGTCAGGACAAAGATTTTAAACAAAGGGCCATAACTCCTTAAAAAGGGTTGAAATGAAAAAATACTAGCCTGATGCATGACATCAGGGGGTAATTACAATATCTGTAAACTTTCATTGAAATCAGCCCAGTAGTTTATGAGGCAGACAAAGGTTTATTCAACAAAGGGCCAAAACTCCTTTTAAAAGGGTTGGAATGAAAAAGTACTACTTGGATGCAGTAGATTAGGAAAAGTTGTCAGGACAAGAATTTTTCAACAAAGGACCATAACTCCATAAACAAAAGTATTACGGGGCGGAACAATATACGCCCGTCGAATGCCATATAGTGTTACATACTTTCTTACATTGAAATAAGATATGCATCATTCTAAGAGTGGTAAGCTATGATGCTATAAAAAATGTAGGAGAAAATCTCCTGACAAAAAATCAAATACTGAAATGAACAAAGGGCAATAACATTTGGAAAGATTGTCGAATCAAAATTCTTTTAATGGAGACACAACCTCATTTCATGATTATAATGTATACCAAGTTTCAAAGAGATCGGTCGAAAAATGTAGAAGGAGATTGCCGGACAAACAAAAGTTTACACAGGACGGATGGACGACACCATACCATAATACTCCCGTCAAATTTGACGGGTGTATAAAAAGGATTGGAAAAAAATGTTCCTGGATGCAAAACATAAGGGGGTAGTTATCATATCTGAAAACTTTCGTTGAAATTGGACGCATAGTCTTGCAGGAGTTGTCAGGACCAGAAATTTTCAACAAAGGGCCGGCCATTACTCCAAAAAAAGGGATGAATTGAAAAAAAATTGATAAAACCTGGATGCACAACATAAGGCGGTAGTTATCATTTGTGAAAACTTTCATTGAAATTAGCACAGAAGTTTTGGAGAAGTTGTGCGGGAAAGCATTTTTCAACAAAGGGCAATAACTCTGTCTACGGACGGACAGACGGACAGACAGACAGACAGACAGACAAGCTCATTCCAGTATACCCCCCCTAACTTCGTTGTGGGGGTCGTTGCAGGGGGTATAATTAGAAACAGTAGGAGATGTTGACCGATTTCTAGAGGATAGCAATAACCAAAACCAATTAAAACCAGATTGAATTAGAAACAGTAGGAGATGTTGACTTAGAGGTTGTCATGTGACAATTAACAGTATCCTACTCAGTATCAGCCCTCGACCTATATCAGTCATCAAGCCTCCGGACCCTTGGACTGATATGGGAGTCGTGGGCTGATAACCTTTTTATCATATACTGCTCTACAACATCAACATTTTGTAGCTTGAACATATAAAACACACAGGAAAATAATTCATTTTTCATCTTATCATGTTCTATCTTCAAATAAAATACAATGTTCATGGTGTACACAACCAGTTTGTTTTACACACTGTTCAATGATTGAGGCACTTTTAACTTAATTGTTTAACTGAGAGTTAAATGGATATGGCACATCTCGAGCAGATATGAATTGGCCCGGGATTGAGCTGATGCACAACTAACAGTATCACACATGCCACACAACCCATATCACCGACAAGTATATAATAATGAATTTTTACTTCACAAAGTCGACTAAAAGACATTGTGTTTTAGAAAACAACAGTAAATGAAGTTTTATCAAGAAACAGTATGTGATGTAATAGACTTTTTAAAGTTGACAGAAGGATTGTTGTGCCTACTATCATGAAATCATCATTAGTTCTATGTTGATCTTATCTCTCATGCAATGAATTGATAGTCATGTCAGAGGTTAATGTATCTTGTAGTAACTGTTGATTAAAAGTTCATAAGACTGTGTTTAACATTGTTCTTTTAAAAGGAGTTTGTTCTTCAATCTTCTTACTAGAACAGCAATGTAAAAAAATAACCCAGAGCAAAACATATTTGATTTCTGGCATGGTTTCTCTCTGATCAAGAAGCTTGAAATGTAAAACTAGGGTACAGAAGGAATCAATTTTTTTTGAAATTTGATCTCTCTAGGACTTTCTGGTATTAAAAACTTCAAACGTAAAAAAATACAGGATGGTCACCTGGCAGCCATCTTGTTCTTCTGATCAGTCTCAATATAAAACAGGAATACCAAGGGGAACTTACATTATCAATCTGAGAAAGATAGATGCATTACTTCTTGAAAACATGGCATAAAAAATCTGTTAAAGGATGGATGATTGGACCACCATTGATCAATTAAGGGATGGAGACAACCATTTTAAGTGTTAACTTAGAAACAGTTTGTGATATTTGAATGATACTTATGGTTGATAAACAGTATGTGATGCTGACTTTTTAGGGTTAAGAAATAGTGTACGATGATGACAGGACTTACTTTGCTAAGTTGACTGAGAAACAGTATGTGATGTTGGTTTACATTTAAGGTTGACTTTAAAGAAATGTGCATGAAGTTCACCGACTGTATTTTGATTGTCGAGAGGCAGCAGGTAATGTTGACGTGCCTATTTAAAGGTTGACCTAGAAACAGTTTGTGATTCTGTGTGACATTGCATTAGTGACTAAAACATTACGCAGTGTTGACTGACTTTTTCTATGTTGACTATAAGCTCCTTTTTATCCTCAATACACCATGTTGATTCCTCCACCTTAATGTCGTTGTAAGTATTGCCCTCCAGCACGGCAGGATGTCCTTTCAGCCCTACCTTGATGTGCTACAACAGACAATCATTGCTTTTCTTAACATTGGATTTCTAAAAGTTTTCAACATTTTCAAAGAACAATTCACTTGTACAAAGTTTTTTTATTTCCTCTTCTATAAAGATTTTATCCGACAGCTGTTTTTGATTAATTTTGTAAGCTTAAATATATAAGGATATACTATTCTCAATGATAAAACAAAAACTTCTGGAAAACTGAAATTTTCTTTCTAAGAGAAATGGATGATTATTTCCCTTTATTGAGAGTACCTCATTTCAATTTCTATGGTCACAGAGTTATACCAACAGTTTAGATATAAGGGAGTATCAATCTCTACGGTCACAGAGTTATACTAACAGTTTAGATATAGGGGAGTATCAATCTCTATGGTCACAGAGTAATACTAACAGTTTAGATATAAGGAGTATCAATCTCTATGGTCTCAGAGTTATACTAACAGTTTAGATATAAGGGAGAATCAATCTCTATGGTCATAGAGTTATACTAACAGTTTAGATATAAGGAGTATCAATCTCTATGGTCACAGAGTTATACTAACAGTTTAGATATAAGGAGTATCAATCTCTATGGTCACAGAGTTATACTAACAGTTTAGATATAAGGAGTATCAATCTCTATGGTCACAGAGTTATACTAACAGTTTAGATATAAGGGAGTATCAATCTCTATGGTCACAGAGTTATACTAACAGTTTAGATATAAGGAGTATCAATCTCTATGGTCACAGAGTTATACTAACAGTTTAGATATAAGGAGTATCAATCTCTATGGTCACAGAGTTATACTAACAGTTTAGATATAAGGAGTATCAATCTCTATGGTCACAGAGTTATACTAACAGTTTAGATATAAGGAGTATCAATCTCTATGGTCACAGAGTTATACTAACAGTTTAGATATAAGGAGTATCAATCTCTATGGTCACAGAGTTATACTAACAGTTTAGATATAAGGAGTATCAATCTCTATGGTCACAGAGTTATACTAACAGTTTAGATATAAGGGAGTATCAATCTCTATGGTCACAGAGTTATACTAACAGTTTAGATATAAGGGAGTATCAATCTCTATGGTCACAGAGTTATACTAACAGTTTAGATATAAGGGAGTATCAATCTCTATGGTCACAGAGTTATACTAACAGTTTAGATATAAGGGAGTATCAATCTATATGGTCAGAGTTATACTAACAGTTTAGATATAGGGGAGTATCAATCTCTATGGTCACAGAGTAATACTAACAGTTTAGATATAAGGAGTATCAATCTCTATGGTCACAGAGTTATACTAACAGTTTATATATAAGGAGTATCAATCTCTATGGTCATAGAGTTATACTAACAGTTTAGATATAAGGAGTATCAATCTCTATGGTTTTTAGCTTCTGGAACCAACTACCCTCTTTTGAAATAAATAATTTAGCATCTAGTTATGAATCAATCAACAAAAACAATATATACTAGCAATTCACCTGCATTGCAATTGCAAGAAAGAATAATTTTGTATGTATAATTACACTGTTTCCATGAGATGTAAATTTTAGAAATAAACTTGACTGATTTAATTTGCTGAACACACTTCTGAATAATAATAATAAAAATAGTATACAACATTTGATATAGCACCCTATCTAGCTAACCCAAGTTATTTTAAAGCACTTTACAGTACAGGCAGGGGAAAAACACTTTCTCTGAATATTCCATGGGTACGACGACTTCGGGTTTCGAACCCCTGCGTGGAAGGCCCGAGTGTTAACCACTCGACCAATCCGCCCATAAACATCCACTTCGTAATACTAACCCGTTTGTCAATCTGTACAACCATATCTTTTCCTTTAAGGGGGAATGACACATCAAATAGCACTCTCAGCTGTAATGTCAACCAGAAAATCATTAATTATAATAAATAGTTTATATATAGACATATACAATGACATCTAAATGGTGTTTAATCAAAAGAAACAGATTATGATTTAACTATTGTCCAAACTGGAAACTTCAGTAATACATTTTGTGTGAACTGGATACTTCAGTAATACATTTTGTGTGAACAGGATACTTCAGTAATACATTTTGTGTGAACAGGATACTTCAGTAATACATTTTGTGTGAACAGGATATTTTAGTAACATCTACTGTCCAAATGTTATACTTTAGTAACACTAAAGTCTAAACAGGATACTTGAGGAACAACTACTGTCTAAATGTGTACTTCAGTAACACCTTATACTGTCTCAATGGGATACTTTAGCAACACTAACTGTCTCAATGGTATACTTTAGCAACACTAACTGTCTCAATGGTATACTTTAGTAACACCTACTGTCTCAATGGGATACTTCAGTAATATACTGTCCTAATGGGATACTTCAGTAACATCAACTGTCTCAAAACGATACTTAAGTAACACCAACTGTGTCAATGGTATACTTTAGTAACACCAACTGTCTCAATGGGATACTTCAGTAACACCAACTGTCTCAATGGAATACTTTTGTAACACCAACTGTCTCAACGGGATACTTCAGTATTATACTGTCCTAATGGGATACTTCAATAACACCAACTGTCTCAATGGAATACTTTTGTAACACCAACTGTCTCAATGGAATACTTTTGTAACACCAACTGTCTCAACGGGATACTTCAGTATTATACTGTCCTAATGGGATACTTCAGTAACACCAACTGTCTCAATGGAATACTTTTGTAACACCAACTGTCTCAATGGAATACTTTTGTAACACCAACTGTCTCAACGGGATACTTCAGTATTATACTGTCCTAATGGGATACTTCAGTAACACCAACTGTCTCAATGGAATACTTTTGTAACACCAACTGTCTCAATGGAATACTTTTGTAACACCAACTGTCTCAACGGGATACTTCAGTATTATACTGTCCTAATGGGATACTTCAGTAGCACCAACTGTCTCAATTGTATACTTTTGTAACACCAACTGTCTCAATGGGATACTTCAGTAACACCAACTGTCTCAATTGTATACTCTAGTAACACCAACTGTCTCAATGGTATACTTTAGTAACACCAACTGTCTCAATGGGATACTTTAGTAACACCAACTGTCTCAATGGGATACTTCAGTAATATACTGTCCTAATGGGATACTTCAGTAACACCAACTGTCTCAATGGTATACATCAGTAACACCAACTGTCTCAATGGGATATTTCAGTAACAATAACTGTCTCAATGGGATACTTCAGTAACACCAACTGTCTCAATGGTATACTTCAGTAACACCAACTGTCTCAATGGGATATTTCAGTAACAATAACTGTCTCAATGGGATACTTCAGTAACAATAACTGTCTCAATGGTATACTTCAGTAACACCAACTGTCTCAATGGGATATTTCAGTAACAATAACTGTCTCAATGGGATACTTCAGTAACACCAACTGTCTCAATGGTATACTTCAGTAACACCAACTGTCTCAATGGGATATTTCAGTAACAATAACTGTCTCAATGGGATACTTCAGTAACAATAACTGTCTCAATGGTATACTTCAGTAACAATAACTGTCTCAATGGGATATTTCAGTAACAATAACTGTCTCAATGGGATACTTCAGTAACACCAACTGTCTCAATGGGATATTTCAGTAACACCAACTGTCTCAATGGGATACTTCAGTAACACCAACTGTCTCAATGGTATACTTCAGTAACACCAACTGTCTCAATGGGATACTTCAGTAACACCAACTGTCTCAATGGTATACTTCAGTAACACCAACTGTCTCAATGGGATACTTCAGTAACACCAACTGTCTCAATGGGATACTTCAGTAACACCAACTGTCTCAATGGGATACTTCAGTAACACCAACTGTCTCAATGGGATACTTCAGTAACACCAACTGTCTCAATGGGATACTTCAGTAACACCAACTGTCTCAATGGGATACTTCAGTAACACCAACTGTCTCAATGGGATACTTCAGTAACACCAACTGTCTCAATGGGATACTTCAGTAACACCAACTGTCTCAATGGGATACTTCAGTAACACCAACTGTCTCAATGGGATACTTCAGTAACACCAACTGTCTCAATGGGATACTTCAGTAACACCAACTGTCTCAATGGGATACTTCAGTAACACCAACTGTCTCAATGGGATACTTCAGTAACACCAACTGTCTCAATGGGATACTTCAGTAACACCAACTGTCTCAATGGGATACTTCAGTAATATACTGTCCTAATGGGATACTTCAGTAACAACAACTGTCTCAATGGTATACTTCAGTAACAATAACTGTCTCAATGGGATATTTCAGTAACAATAACTGTCTCAATGGGATACTTCAGTAACACCAACTGTCTCAATGGGATACTTCAGTAACACCAACTGTCTCAATGGTATACTTCAGTAACACCAACTGTCTCAATGGTATACTTCAGTAACACCAACTGTCTCAATGGGATATTTCAGTAACAATAACTGTCTCAATGGGATACTTCAGTAACACCAACTGTCTCAATGGGATACTTCAGTAACACCAACTGTCTCAATGGGATACTTCAGTAACACCAACTGTCTCAATGGGATACTTCAGTAACACCAACTGTCTCAATGGGATACTTCAGTAACACCAACTGTCTCAATGGGATACTTCAGTAACACCAACTGTCTCAATGGGATACTTCAGTAACACCAACTGTCTCAATGGGATACTTCAGTAACACCAACTGTCTCAATGGGATACTTCAGTAACACCAACTGTCTCAATGGGATACTTCAGTAACACCAACTGTCTCAATGGGATACTTCAGTAACACCAACTGTCTCAATGGGATACTTCAGTAATATACTGTCCTAATGGGATACTTCAGTAACATCAACTGTCTCAATGGTATACTTAAGTAACACCAACTGTCTCAATGGGATACTTTAGTAACACCAACTGTATCAATGGTATACTTTAGTAACACCAACTGTCTCAATGGTATACTTCAGTAACACCAACTGTCTCAATGGTATACTTCAGTAACACCAACTGTCTCAATGGGATACTTCAGTAACACCAACTGTCTCAATGGGATACTTTAGTAACACCAACTGTCTCAATGGTATACTTCAGTAACACCAACTGTCTCAATGGTATACTTCAGTAACACCAACTGTCTCAATGGGATACTTCAGTAACACCAACTGTCTCAATGGGATACTTTAGTAACACCAACTGTCTCAATGGTATACTTCAGTAACACCAACTGTCTCAATGGTATACTTCAGTAACACCAACTGTCTCAATGGGATACTTCAGTAACACCAACTGTCTCAATGGGATACTTTAGTAACACCAACTGTCTCAATGGTATACTTTAGTAACACCAACTGTCTCAATGGGATACTTCAGTAACACCAACTGTCTCAATGGGATACTTCAGTAACACCAACTGTCTCAATGGTATACTTCAGTAACACCAACTGTCTCAATGGTATCCTTTAGTAACACCTACTGTCTCAATGGGATACTTCAGTAACACCAACTGTCTCAATGGGATACTTCAGTAACACCAACTGTCTCAATGGTATACTTCAGTAACACCAACTGTGTCAATGGTATACTTTAGTAACACCAACTGTCTCAACGGTATACTTCAGTAACACCAACTGTCTCAATGGTATACTTCAGTAACACCTACTGTCTCAATGGTATCCTTTAGTAACACCAACTGTCTCAATGGTATACTTCAGTAACACCAACTGTCTAAATGGTATACTTCAGTACCACCAACTGTCTCAATGGTATACTTTAGTAACACCAACTGTCTCAATGGTATACTTTAGTAACACCAACTTTCTCAATTGGATACTTCAGTAACACCAACTGTCTCAATGGGATACTTTAATAACACTTTCTGTCTTGACGGGATACTTTAGTAAGGACTCCTGTCTAAATGGAATATTACAGTAATGCCTACTATCAGTAGTTTGCTATAGGTATGTCTATGATATGGCTGTAACTGACCTCAATTTCCTCTAATGTCTGTGTCCACTTGTAGTTAGGCATGTCTGCTCCATTTCCTGCATTAGGTTTTAACTTCCCTTTGTCCTTTTCATCTTCCTCTTCATCATCTGACTGGAAAGAAGTAGAAAATCTACCTGGTATAATCAGAATTGGTTTTGGTATGTTTGTGTTTTATGTCTTATTAACAGCTTTGGTTATTCAAGGATGTCATGTGTCAGGTTTTAGAGGTTGAGGAAAACTTGAGTTCCCAGAGAAAACCCAGTGACCTTCGGCCAGTATCTAGTGACTGCCAAATGTAAGCCTTAAACGGCAACCCAGTAGTGGAGTACTAGTGATCATAGAAGATCAGACGCGCTGAATCTTCAAAACCTTAGGTTTACAACTATTATATATACCAAACTCAACATTTGACAGTATTACTACTGAACCATTAAGCACCCATTCCTTATAAGTGCCCCCCTGCCCACTACCCTTTTCTAGTCCAAATGTCCCATCTATTCACCAACATATTTGAATACATCTATTATGGGTACTTTTGAGAATTTTAGAAGGTTCTGAAACTATTTTAATTCTTTCACATTTATACAAAAGAAAATCTAGAACAAAGTCAATGTACTTCAGTTTATCATAGGTTTTATCTATACTCCAATAATAAAATAATAATTATCATAGGTTATATCTATACTCAAATAATATATATATCATAGGTTATATCTATACTCCAATAATAAGTATCATAGGTAATATCTATACTCCAATAATACATATATCATAGGAAATATCTATACTCCAATATTAAGTATCATAGTGATATCTTTACTCCAATAATAAGTATCATAGTGATATCGATACTCCAATAATTTCATATACAATAATATCCCCCCCACGATTCAACTTGGAGGCGTCCCTGCTATATGTCATAATGCACCCTTCCATGCTTGCTATAACATTAATGTACTCAGACCCCTGTTACGAACTCCTCTAATAACTTCTTCTGCCTAATTAAATGTCAAAGGATAAAATCCCAAATTTTTGTAACTATGTCACGAATTATGCTCCGTGCTGTCAAAAATGTCAAGTATTACTTTTTAATCTACAGTTTTCTAGTGAATACTGCAATATTACTATGCCACATGCTATTATTCATGTACATCAATACCTTATTTTCTCCATTTTCTTCTTTTGGCTTTTCTTCTGTTGGTGCTGATGTATCCGGAGCTTTGTCCTGTTGGAGATAACCAAAAGTCATGAATTACACTTAATTTACATTGTAAATGTTTAATGAATTATAATATAATAAATTACATTGAGACTTTTAAAAACATCATTGTACCATGCTTATAGACCTGTACAGAGTTTGTGTACACAACACCCTTGCATAGGGGAGCTAAGCAAATAAATTCACCTGATTTGAGTCATGTTGAGAACAGTTATCCTGCATGAATTGACATGGTAAAAGAGAATAAATCTTCATAATGCTTTCCAGGATGTGATTGAAAATTAATAGTAAAGGAAAAAAAAAGTCCATAGAAAAATGAAAGATATACCACAAAAAACATCCTTGTAAAAATAAGGTTTAAAGATATTTAGATTAAATCAATCACATTTTACCTGTTATTAAGAAAAGATTCAAAATGTTGTTGTATTGTCTCAAATTCCATCTTATATATCTGATTTAAACAGCCAAAGCAGTTTCTTTATAATGATGACCAAATCTCCTACAAGACTTGAATCTTTTGATCAACCTTTTTACTGTTTTACAAATGATTCATAGATTGTACACTTAATACGGATGTTTCAGTTATCAAGCAGACCTAATCAGATAACTTAACCACCATGACAGTGAACCATGTCTAACCTAATCAGATAACTTACCCACCATGACAGTGAACCAGGTCTAACCTAAACAGACAACTTAACCACCATGACAGTGAACCATTTCTACCCTAAACAAATAACTTAACCACCATGACAGTGAACAATGGCTAACCTGAACAGATAACTTAACCACCATGACAGTGAACCATGTCTAACCTAAACAGATAACTTAACCACCATGACATAGAACCATGTCTAACCTAAACAGATAACTTACCCACCATGTCAGAACCATTTCTAACCTAAACAGACAACTTAACCAACATGACAGTGAACCATGTCTAACCTAAACAGATAACTTACCCACCATGACAGTGAACCATTTCTAACCTAAACAGATACCTTAACCACCATGACATAGAACCATGTCTAACCTAATCAGATAACTTACCCACCATGACAGTGAACCATGTCTAACCTAAACAGATAACTTACCCACCATGACAGTGAGCCATGTCTAACCTAAACAGATAACTTAACCAACATGACAGTGAACCATTTCTAACCTAATGGTCCTGTAGGGGCTAAATAAACAAGGGAAAAAATATACATAGAAATATCAAATCATGGAAAAGTCTAACCTCAGATGTTGTACTGACAGAACGATGGAAAAGACAAAAAACACTACCGTGACCTTTGACTCAATGACCTTCAAATTTTGTCACAATGTACTTGCATCAATGCTACATTTTCTCCAAGGTGTGTGTTTACAAATAGCCTACCATTTCTGCGATAATTTGCCATTTCAGTAACATTAATGCATCTATGACCTTTGACCTCATGACCTTGGAAGTTTGTCACAATATGGCACAATATTTCATTGAATATGTGTATACAAAATACCTGCCATTTCCGAGATATTTAGCCATTTCAGTAACGTAATTCATTCATGACCTTTGACCTCAGAAGTTTGTCAGAAGATAAGCTTTCATTAAGCCTACAACATTCCAATGCATATGTGCATACAAAATACCTACCGTTTCCGAGATAATAAGCCATTTAAGCCATTTTAGTCGCGTAATGTACTGTCTACAGAAGTCAAGGGCCATAACTCTAGTAAATATTGAAGGAACATAATGACGTTCTGGGAGACACAAGTTTATTTGAGATATAAGATGTGTGTAAAATTTCATCAAAATCCATGCATAAACCTCGGAGGACTGGAGGAGTAGGAGGTACATTTTTTTGTCTACAGACAGACAGACAGAGTGATTCCAGTATACTAACATCCTAACTTCATTGCGGAAGGTATCAATATTGTGGCATTATAGAGCTGAGATATAGAGTATAAAATGTTTAATACCATATCCAATTCATTCTGAAGTTGTTGTGCCTCCTCATCTGTGAGTTCCTTAATTTTTGGTTCCTCTTCTTTAGAGGCCTTTTCCTTTGCTTTTTGCTCTGCCTCTGCTTTTTTCTTAGCAAGACGTTCTTTTCTACGCATTTCTTCTTGTTCTCTTTCTTCTCTTAACTTTCGTTTCTCCTCTTCTGCATCTTTTTGGTATTTCTTGAATACACCCATAACAATCTGAGAAAAGCATAATGCAAAAAGAAGCATTTTTAATACTCTTATTGATTTGTAATTATAACATCTCTGTGAAAAAGTCTGAAAAACTGCACTGATTTATGGTATTAAATAAATGTATTATATTTACAAGACCGGCACTGCAACCAAGAGACTGTTTTTCAGTGCATCCTACAATTTCCTTGAATTTTCAGACCTTCTTGAAATTGTGAAAATATAAGGTGAGCAAAATGGGTCAATCACCAAATGTTTTGTAAAAATATTAGAAGACAGCTCTAGTTAGATGACAGTAAGGCAAGACAAAAAATATATGTTTCCTGAAACATGTTGGAAATAATCATAGACAGATCCTTGGCTGTGTTGTTTATCATTTACGAGGCTGCTTACTTGGACCTTGTCCAAAAGTGTTGCAGGCACTTGTAACTGTTCTGGAAATGTTTTGTATACAAGTACAATGGGTCACCTTATTTTTTAATTCTTTTGGTTTTTCTATTATCCTTTTTCCTTACCTCTTCGGCTAAACCTTCCTTTCCACCAGTATAAAAATCAGTCTTTCTTGACAAAAAGCTGAAAAGGCAGTCAAGTAGCTGAAACAAAGTACATGTATTATTATTAAATCTTGTTGAAGCCCGATATATTGTGACTGTCCTGGTGAAATTTAATGGAATTTTGTTAGACACTTCTGTCAGGAACCTGTGGACCAACTAAGTATTGACAGTTGCAAGAAAAGAATGACAAAAGCAATCGTGCGATTTTGTTTTGTATTGTGCATTTCTACACTATACAGGGCAGTTTTTACTTGCACCATTTCTAAAGTAAGGTTTTTCACTAGGTGTATGGTAATAGGCTTAATAACTCAAATTTCCTTAATTAAAGCAGTCACCTTATGGAGTGCCCAGTACAGGAGTAAGTGCTGAAGATGAAATTTGTGCACCCTGGAATTTGGTTCAAGATTATACCACTTTCTTTTCTCCGATTCACAATATGTACATTAGTTACGTATACCCTTATCTTACTTTAAAGTCAATTTCTATAACAAGTGTCTAAATAAGATAGGGGCATTTCCTCATGCAAACGCATCGCGGCAAGATATATAATACGTTTACTGTGGACTTGCTGCTCCGTTTGGACAAATTGACGTCACAGCACTATTTTGTACCAGACTAAAACATGTATGTGAAACCACAGGGGCTCGGTTTCAGGATACTTTTTGTTAATAATTAACCTATACACACCAGTAAATAAAAGCAACACTTTTTATCCGGTGTTTATTCACATTCTATAACCTTATAAACACTGAGGAAAACGAGATATAAAACTAGAAAATATCTGTAAGACCTAAATGCCCCCGCTGCCATGTGAAGTTATACTCATACTTGACATTTGCATAAAGTTTGACCAAAATCTGTCAAAGAATGAAGTTGCTAAGTGTACATTGAATCAGGATGGGACGGACATGGGCATGCAACTCTATATGCCCCCCAATTTATGGAGGGTTGTACCTTTGTATAAAGTTTGACAAAAATCTATCAATGAATGAACTTGCTAAGTGTTTACATTGAATCAGGACGGGACAGGTGTTTAAATTGAAACAGAACGGGACAGACATGGACAACACTATTTTATGGTGGGGGCATATACTCATAATCATAGTAAAGTACTTTTTTATATTTCGGTACCCTCAATTAACACTTGATAAAAAGTGCTGCTGTTACTTACTGGTGTATATAGGTTTATTATTATTATTAACCGAAAGTATCACGAAACCGAGCCCCTGTGCATGAAACCTAGCCCGAGTATCGTGTCAGGGCCAGAGGAAACTCGGGCTACGTGAAAACGAAAGTGGCGGTCCTCGGAAAGGGGTGGAGATTTTATTATCAGTAATAAAATCGACAAGATCTAGTAAATAGAACAAGAAATTAATCGACATTGCAACAAACTATAAATTGTTAAGTAAATCACATGGGCTTGAGTAAATGGTGTGAGTAGCAAGGATATATAAATGGTTTCTGACTACTGTTCCGCTAGAATCTAGAAAAATCTAGAACATCTGAGCTGGTTTCGTTTTTCACCAAGTTAATTGACTACCTCTTTGACTCCACCTTCGCACTGCTGGGCCATGCCTAGCAGCATTCCATCGAATTTTTCGGCATCAGCCATAGTGCTGCTATCTATTTCCAGAAAGACCAACTTGTTTAGTTCAGTCACGAATATTTTTCAGTCGATGCTCTGCACGCCTTTGTACATCTAAGTCTTTCAAGTACTTGTAAGTCAAGTCAATACATGTTGCATTGAAGAGCACAGTTGACACAGAGTAATACAGTGACAGGAAAACAATCTACGCATGCGTTGTATCTAATCACTTTCACTTCCGTAAACAAATATGTCGGTAGCAAGTTTTCGACGAAGTCAAGGCTTCAGGAATCCAGATGAAGATTTCGTCTTACACGGACGCCCTTCTTCCTTCTGGTAAATAAGGACTGACGAATGTGCATGGTTTTGCCAAAGCGCCAGAGGATTAACGACATCGGACGTTGCATACCTTCGAATGATAGAACTATTCAGTGCATGTTTGCCCACTGTACTGCACAGTATAATAGAAAGAAAAAAAGTCTACCGTAGATCTTATCACGGCCGTTTATAAACAAAGACTATGCACATTTTGTTTTTTTTATTTGACAATCGATTATTAATTGCACAAGTCGAAATGGATGCTCACTGAACATGAGCTATTGGTATTTAAATATGGTTTTACTTTGAGAGGCGGGAAATTTGAGATCTGTTAATGCTTGTTCACACAACGTACCCCGTCGACTTTGTTGCAGATATACAAGGTTCCGCTACAGATCTAAATAAAACATAACTATTTTTGTCTATGGTGCTGGGTGTTGGTATCAACGATAATTATAACTGGTATTAAAATGGCTTTATCTGTTAGTAATATATATCTTCACAAAATCAAATTATAATTCTATGTAAGAGCAAATCATGAATATATTCATTTTCATTGAAAATAAGCCAAATACTAGTTATCAATAGATTATACAAAAAAGATAAGTTTGTACTTCAGAAAAGGTATAATTAAAAGTAATAAACTGGTTAAATAGCAGCGCTGAAAAGAATAGTTATTTTTAAAACCATAACTTCATTCTGATTCACAATGTTATAGAGAACATTTTTTGTACCTTCTAATCGATCTGATGTATTTGATCAACAAGAGTTTTCAATGTGAGGAATCAGGAATAATTTTTTCTTAACCCCGAAAGCATTAATATTGCCTTTGGGCTAAGGGGATGCTACTAACAAGCAACTCCAACTTAACACTGTTATTCCAAAGCATGTCTAATTCAAACAAACTTATTGCTCCTTTTTGTATTCATTATAGAACCTTTTGCAAACATGCTTAGTTGTTCAGTTTAGACAGGTGTAACTACTCTGGTAATTTTGTGACCAATTCTAGCAAATACCCATTGATATCAAGATAGGTATCATCAATGACAGTTGTTACAGAATGTACAAGTGCTTAAATGATAATTTTAACTATATGTTTCTCCTATTTTTTGTTTTTCAGGGAAAAACCAGCGTATTTGAACAATTCGCAAATAACAAATTCATCAATAAGGCTTACTAGTAAACACACAATGTTTAACCCAGAGAAATACAGTGACAGACACTATGTCAAGTCCCTTGGGGATATAGCAAACAACCTAGGGAACCTCAGTGCAAATCTTAACAGAAGTGTCTCTTTTAGCAACAAATTGCAATCTAAAGGAATCAGCAATAACTCTGCTTCGAAATTCATTGACACTGAGGAAGAATTATCACGACTGCGATCACAGACTTCAGATCTTAGCTTCAGAGGTCATCCATTAAGGGAAAATGAAAATGATTGGTTGAACACAGCAAACACCATGATGTCACAAAGGATAGCCAGCAACTACAAAACAAGCTATCCCTATGAAGGTGAGATGGACAAAGAGAAGGAATACACAGGACAGGAGAAGACCGAGTACCCTCTCAGTACACGTGACTCACTCTCTCTTAGATTCTTTCCTGTCACTATGTCTGCTCCTTATGAACTGTCCTACATAGATAGCAATGTTCCTTCAACTAAAATACACAACATACGACCTAAATCTGCCCCTCGTTTGACCTCCAAGCCCGGTAAATCCAAGTCAATGGTGGGCCCATTCACCAGGAGTGATGTAGATAAAATGTTTCTGATGTCATCAGAGGCCCCAGTTACAGGTAAAACATTTATAAATTACAATTTGTATGCACAGCTACATAAGATAGCTTGTTTTTTTATTAGTCAAGTTTGCTTACATTATACTTAAAATAATATCCAAAGATATAATGTGCAAAACAACTGTAAAATTAGACAGCATCAAATTGCTAAATATACAGTGTGTAATAATTGCACACATTTACATACACAGTATACTGTTAGAATATCGCTGTGTTTTACATGTGATAAGTAATATTTATGATAAGTCAATTTGGTTATAGAAAACAAGGAAAAGTATTTCTGAATTGGTCCATAAATGAAGAAAATCCTTATTCCCAGATTTGATCAATCCATTGTATACATGTATATCATAATTGCCAACCTTTCATTTTTTTCGTATGAGAGAAGCTGCACAGTAAAGTATCTAAATGTGTGAAAAGCAGTTGTAAATAAAGACTTCTTGACAAAGTAGTAGAATGAAATGTTATAGTTTTATACTGTTCTATGCAATAATTCAGTCAAAATGTATGGAATTCCTCTCAGCCTTGCAAAAGTTTAAGTTAATGAATGCAGAAATCATAGTCTCCATCCAAAATAAGTAGATTTGGCAAGTATGTAACATCTGGAAATGTCTACCGGTATTAACTGACAAGGTCAAGCTTAAACAATGCTTAATACCACTGGTAAAATTTTAAAAAAAAAATGGAAAAAAGATATACACTGTAAATCAATGCTGACATTCTCTCTGTACAGTGTATTTACAACTATAAGGTGGTTTGCCTCACATGTTACATTTAATAAAACAAATTGCTATGTAGTTATGAGACTGATATCACTATCCCTTACACAGTAGCTGTAATCTCTGTAAGTCTATATCTCAGCTGTTTGTTGTCATAGATCTAGATCATATTACCAATACATTTCTTTTTAAATTCTGTACCAGTAGTTTTTTCCCCTTTTCAATTAAAATGGTTTGCTCCTTATAGCTGTTCTAAATACCTTTATAACCACTATACTCTTACTTGTACATTGCCATCATAATATGCTTTCATTCAACCAAACCCAAATTTAAATGTCCCCTGGTAGAAAGAATTGACTAATGATAATCAAACTCTGTAATAGAGTTTGGCAATAGCAAACTGATTTCCAAGTGCCTGTAGTTTGTTAACATGTTGCTATTTATTACAATAATCATTTATAAAAAAGAAAAGCAAGAGGACCATAGAATACATGCTTTTTTTACCCAGCAATTAAACCTGCTTTTACTTTAGATTATATTTTAATATTAATGTGTAATTAAATGTTGTTTCTTTTACTCTAAACCTGCCACTATGTTTTCAAAGGTGCATCATCAAAAGTGATTACTTCCCCCTACCAGTCAGAGATTGCCAAACTCAGAATGGAACGTCTTCGTATTGAGGAAGACAGACTACTGGAGTTGAAACGTCATGAAGAAATTGAACGGATTCGAGGACCAAATCATCGATGGTGATTATTAAAGAATTTCTCAAAACTAAATAAAAACAGATCAATCGAACCTACATATCTGTATCATTTGTTATCTATAAGCAAGATATTGTTAGCTACACACTCATTCTCAATACCAGTGGCCATATCTGATTTCTCATTGACCAAGAAAAATAATCAAAATAACAACACACAGGCCAATGACAGGAAGTTGTATTCTTGTAAAGGTTAAAACTTATTTACCCTTTTGTGCCCCATGCATCCCTCTGCCTCAGGGGGATAACACCCTCCAATGAAATACATTTCTTGGTCCAGTGATTATGTATTACAATTTGAGTTTAAATATCTTCAGCTATTCAGGACCAGTATTCTTTTAAATAAAAACTTAATGAAACACTGTATGACATATACATAAAACCATAGCATAAAGACTCACTTCGCCCTGCAAGCCAGATGTGCTAAGAAAACAATTACATGTGTATATTGAATTCTGCAAATCTTGAGTTAACTACAAATCAATATTCCTTTAAAGTAAAATATATATATGATGAAGATATGTTATATCATGTCTTGATATTCATTTTGATATTGTATGACTTTCAGGTACGAGTCTAAAGGTCCTGACTTTCATTACGAGTGTAGTAAAAATACAGAAATGATGAAACATGAAGACCACTGGGAAGAGTTGGTGGATTATCGAAACAGTCTGATGGAATGTTCAACAGCTTTCAGGAAGTCGTATGGAGCATTTGCCTAACAGGTCTTTCTGTTTTCCATGTGAACTATGTAGTCTGTTTGTCAATTGAGGTCACCGACATGGGAAATTCAGACTAGATGAATATTATCTATATAATGACTTTCCATTTCTAAAATACAGAACATAACAACTGAATACCTGGTGAAACTTAGTGTTTATTCAAGCTGACAATATTGTAGTTTTAAAGAACGGATATATACATTTTACTTCAAAAAGAAAAGGTTTCATTCAGTCAATATTTCACGAAAAAAGCTGACACCATTATGTTACAAATAGTGAGAAGTTTTACTGAATTATGAAGTTGTAAAAATAGGAAATATATCATACCTGGTCATGCATTACTGCTTTTGTTATGGATGCTATTTGCTTGTAGTTTTTTTGTGTTCTTATTTGTATATTTATTGCATTAATGTCTTGACATTATAATGTCTTTTACTATCAGTTCATTTTTGTGTGTGTTTATCTTGTTCTAAGTGTCTACAGGACTGTGTTTCCACAATTCCACACAAAGAAATAGGTACAATATCTTTATGAATCATAATTGTCTGGTTATAAATAATAGATAATGCTTATTAAAATCCTACAGGGTAAGATAACTCTGGCTATAAATAAGAGATAAATGCATATACAATTTGTGTTGGGAAAGATAACTCTGGTTATAAATTATAGATGTTGGTTATTAAAATTGTGTTTGGGGAAGGTACTATTAAATGAATCACAACAGTATGAGAGGTACAATATGGTATATTTTCGAAATTTACCTGACAAATAATTTTAATTATATTCCATTTACATGTACAATATTATGCTTGTCATATATATGCGAAGTATTATAGTGATGTTTTTAAAGTTAATATATTTATATGTAGTGATAAAATGTATTTTTGCAATATGTGTAAGACACAAAATAGCAAAGCTGTGATATAAATATGTAAAAATGATTTAACACAATAAATTTAATTGTTAAGTTTTAAAGCCTCGTCACATAATCATGCGTGCATGAATTCCAAATGATGCACACTCATACAAACTACGTATGTGTTTTATACCAATGTGTCAATCGTGGTTGACTGAACCCCACACTATGTTGTCAAGCTGAAGGTTTCCAGTAACGGAACATGCATCCACCCAATAATATATTATGGAATAGTGAAAGGGTCTATCAGTTAAAAGAATTCTTTGTATAATGACTATAAATATGGATAAATATGTTTTTTTGTATATTAAAATAGGGTTTTTGTGAATTTACATTCTGTGACAGAAAAAAACCAATTATGCAAATCTTAGTGTGTTTCCATACACATATAATTTGTAATTGACAATTAATAACAGGGCAGCATATTCCTATAGCATTGAACTCAGAAATATACATTTTTTATTGTACATGTTTTGAAGTGATTATTGAAAAAAACTACAAATGAAATGTACAGGATCTGTTTTGGGAATGAATAAATTTGTTTGGATATAAAGTGAATGATTTTTTTATCATAATGTATACGGTACATCATGTGTGAAGAATCAGTGCAATGGTAGATTGCTTCATCAATTATCAATTTGACCAATAACTCATTGAACTGATCCTCTAATATATGTCAAGTGTTGAATCTCAGGGTGAATCATTAGTTTTACCTGTTGGAAAAGTACTGTTTAGTATTCATTAGTGTGTAAGTTTTGTGATCCCAAATGTACATTGTGCAACAATGACAGAAGCTTTAGCAAATAACAATGAAAATATTTATATTGTCCTTTAAATTTCATAGTACCAATACACTGTAATTGTGTATTCTGTCACGGAAATAATATGATATATGCCCTTAAAAAAGAAAAGAAAGCATTTTTTTTCTCTCAATAAAGTTGGTGTACACTTTAAATATGCATAATATGCAGCCTTGTTCAGACTTTCTATTGCTTTCTATTTTCAAATACTAGTATTATTCAGGACGTTATGGTGAGGAGAGGGTCAGGAGAAAAATTGTCTGAAATAAAAAATGTTACAGATTAATACAACCAGTAATTTGTCAAATTTTGATAAAAAAACAGAATATGTTTCCCCCTGCAATGCTCAGTTACCTAAGCTTTACAAGTGCTAGATGTTACATTCCAGTATTTTTATTTTTTGATCATGTTGCATGCATGCTGATGCCAGTTATAATTAACACTTGCTTATAGTAACCTTGTTGTAGATTAAACAGAAAGGAAAATAAATAATTGCACATTATAGGTGTTATTGTTATTCATCAGACACTTATAACATGTCCCAGCCTTTACTTTCTTGTTATTACAGATACAAAGATGAATCTCCAGACACAATAGCATCACTATTCACTACCATATGTATCCTATACCTATATACTATCTTCTGATACTTCACACAAGGTTAGTGTCGCAGCAGTGGCAGATCAAGGGGGTTTGGAGGGCTTCAGGAAATTCATACAACTTGCCGATTTCTTGGGGGAAAATGGATTTTTCTCATTTTGAAATTGCTTAGACATTTGGAAACCTCCAATATCAAGTTCAGTTTCTGTTATGTCACTGTGAAAGGACTTCTGTTTATCCAGGGTTTTGCATCCTCGTACCGGCTATGATTATATGAAGATAATTTGACTACTTTAAAATATCAAAATCTGGACACCAAAGCATGACAATGACACTCCATCCGGCCATATTATTCTGACAATGTGCTTACCAGAAGTGATATGGGAGAAACAGCTAACAAAGGTGTGGCTGGGAGAGAAAAAGAGGAAGATCCCAGAAGTGTTGCAATAGAGACAACACAAATAAATCTATGGTTTCTCCATAGTCCCCTAACCAGAGGACCAGAAAATCCCCATACAGCAGGTCTATTGTTTCTCTCAAATCTGCACATTTCTTAATGGAAAAGAATACAATTATATAAAATGTGATTAAAAACAAACAAGGGCCTGTATTGCTCACGTTTTATTCAATGCTATTGGCAAACATGTCTCGCATCAGTTACCTTTAAAGTGGGCCAATGTCAAATTCATTGTAACAAACGTGATAGCTGGATAGCCTACCACTACTGGCTTACATTGCTACTCCACACCTTACCTACCACTACTGGCTTACATTGCTACTCCACACCTTACCTACCACTACTGGCTGACATTGCTACTCCACACCTTACCTACCACTACTGTCTTACATTGCTACTCCACACCTTACCTACCGCTACTGGCTTACATTGCTACTCCACACCTTACTTACCACTACTGGCTAACATTGCTACTCCACACCTTACCTACCACTACTGTCTTACATTGCTACTCCACACCTTACCTACCGCTACTGGCTTACATTGCTACTCCACACCTTACTTACCACTACTGGCTAACATTGCTACTCCACACCTTACCTACCACTACTGGCTTAGATTGCTACTCCACACCTTACCTACCACTACTGGCTTACATTGCTACTCCACACCTTAATGGTCTTTATTGGAAGATTGTTTTGCTCCCGTAATCTTCAAAATGGGACAAGGTCATTTTACTGAATAAAATTCATTTTTTTTATTCAGATTGTTTTATCCCAGCAAGATAAATACTAGACATTACAAATATGACCCTAAAGACTAAACCTCGTAAGTTATTCACAAGGTATATTTGATACATATCGCCTTGAAAATATGTCCAGGTCTTTCAGCTGAACGAAATTTCATGTCACATGTATGACTCAAGGCTTCTGTTTAACCTATTTGACCCAAGTGACCTTGAAAGTGGTGGAGGTCATTCATTTGCACAAACCTGATATCTCTTCATCTTAGCATGCCACAAGGAAAACATAATTAATTTAGGCTTTAACTTTTTGCTTTTAAGAGAAACTTGTTTATGTATTTTTTATCATACATAAGCCCTATGCCCTTGTAAGAAGGTCAAGGTCATTCATCTGAAGAAACTTCAAATCCCTTCATCCCATTGTGTTACTAGCCCTATAGCATCACACTTAGTTATTCAGAAGAAGCCATGTAAGGAAACAAAATGGAGCCAGATTGACAGCCAACAGATGCAGCACCATTGTATTATAAGTTCAGACAGTTTGTGCCAGGTGAGCTTATAGAAATAGATACATATCAAACTGTGTTCTATGTAAACTTATAGCCCTATAATTATGAACTTCTCAGAATTGCAGACCTATAACTTCAATTAGAATGCAGTGTAATGCTAAACAAATTGCAGTTTGTCTACATTACAAAATAATCATTAATCAATGTACATTTCATGCATTAAACTTAATATTAATGCTTCAACAATTACGTATATCAATAACTCAACAGTACAAATAAAATCTTATATATGATTTCAAGTGTGTAAAAGTATGTTGAAAACAAAATATTTTCCTAAAACTCAACTGCTGAAAATTGTTTTGAACAATTAAGATGACAAAATGTCCAATCCAGCATGATGTAACAGAGAACCAAAGCACCTCTCCTGTTCCCCATCATAGGGTGACAGCTGAGTAATGATTGGTTGTAAGAACTTGTCCTGTTTGTTAAGGCTCGGGCTGTCCATCTCTAGGTGTACGGCTGACAACACCGCCAATCCCTCACCAACCTTACATGTTATGGCAGCTAACGGTTTACCTTTGACCTCAGAAAAGTGACAAAGAATGTCCTTTATAGTTCCAGTTTGTTGGTCATTTAAGTTTTTAACCTGTTTATTTCCTGTTTCAGCATTCACACCCAACACATGCCTGTCCTTGATTTCTTGACGAATTTTGTCATCCACATCATCACTAAGGTCTTGGTCGTAGCTCTCCGGGTCTCTGGTAATTGAACATTTGTTAAACAAATCTTGTGGCAAAAACATTCCACCTCCATTGAAGTAGCCTTTCAAGGAGATGCTCTGTTTGGGGTTCCAATGTGGGTCTGTGAACTGGAGGGGCACTGCTCTGGCACTGACCTTGATGTTGTAGTTGTAGGGGCCATGAACAGGGCCAACACACACACCTGCAATATATATACAACTTATCTAACCTTGATATTGTAGTTGTAGGGGACATGAACAGGGCCAACACACACACCTGCAATATATATACAACTTATCTAACCTTGATATTGTAGATCATGTATCACTGACGAAACAATTCTGACATCACATTAGGAGATTTTATATGAGGTATTAGGCAAAATATAGGAGATGTGTGTATTCATTGCATACCATTGGAGTAAATAAATATTGACAGTCTACACAGATATTTACTCAATAATTGTTGTTCTTCTCTATCTATTCAATTTACACATGCTCAACTGGATTCAATTCATCACCTTATGATAACCTGAACAAAATAGAAACTTTCCTTAAATATTTACAACACATGTTGCTAGGATACAGAAGGGGACAGTGACACTAACAAAACACTTGTCTGATCCTGGAGTTGTTGCCAACAATAATGAGATCTATAACAAGTCATACACTTAGATGTAGGGTGTACCTTACCTGGGAAAAATTTCAGGATTCTGTCTCCACACACCTGCTGAGGTCCACCCTTGTCAAACTCTATACGATCACACGCGAAGTAGGCCCCGGCACATATACCCAGGTACCTGCCACCTGTGCGTACATAGTCGCGGATCTTTATTGTGCCCTCGTCGCCAAGAGCCGTGATGAAACCCAGATCATAACCTCCTCCTATCACGTACAGAGCTGTTGACGACCTCCAAGCTCCTGAAATTTTTAAACAAATAATGTAATTTGTATATATACTGCTAAAATGGCACTAAACCAGATATAGACATTTTAGAATTATTGTAACGAATGAAAATAACATAGGATATGATTGTCAAAATATTGCATTTGTGGCCATTTTTTTCACATGTTGTAATGGCCATCAACTCAAGAAATTGACATATGATCAAAGTGCCATCCAACACACCGTTTAGCACAACAACAAAACATCCACACAATGGCATGAAAGTAGCGCTGATGAATATATTTAAAGTCAATGTTATTGGAAATGTCAATGCATTGTTTGTTAAAGTTGTGACTGCCAAGAAAACAGCAAGTTAATTACTTTGTTCCAAAATGTTGATAAATGTATTGGTTACATTGTGATTATGTATATATAGGACTGTATAGGACTAAAACACCTTGTGATTATGTATATATAGGACTGTATAGGACTAAAACACCTTGTGATTATGTATATAGGACTGTATAGGACTAGAACACCTTGTGATTATGTATATAGGACTGTATAGGACTAGAACACCTTGTGATTATGTATATATAGGACTGTATAGGACTAGAACACCTTGTGATTATGTATATATAGGACTCATAGTATAGGACTAAAACACCTTGTGATTATGTATATAGGACCGTATAGGACGCAAACACCTTGTGGTTATGTAATACGACTGTAAAGGACTAGAACACCTTGTGATTATGTATATAGGACTGTATAGGACTAGAACACCTTGTGATTATGTATATAGGACTGTATAGGACTAGAACACCTTGTGATTATGTATATAGGACTGTATAGGACGCAAACACCTTGTTAATATGTAATATGACTGTAAAGGACTAAAACACCTTATGATTATGTATATAGGACTAACACGAAAACACCATGTCATTATGTATAGGACTAACACATTTTTTTCATTTTAGTTTTGCAACTCATATTGATGGCAAACACCTGTGACCAAGGTGTGATTTACTAGGATGAAACTTCACAGTATATCTTATTTTATGCTCTATTAATATGTATACTTTAATATATTATCATTGCCTAGAATCTTCTCTTGCAGAATTTTTTAACCAAATACCATGACATTCTCATGAGAACAGGTAAGACCATATGGAAAAATATTTCTATCCTGATTTCTCCTTCAAGAAAGTTTCTCCTGAGAAAAATATTATCTTAGTTTGTACCGTATATGGCTATCAAAGGATCTTGTTTCAATGTAGCTAACCTGAAATCTTGCTTTACAAGGGGGTGAGGGGGGGCTAACATGAAATCTTGTTTTACAAGGGGGGGGGCTAACATGAAATCTTGTTTTACAAGGGGTCTGGCTAACATAGGATCTTGCTTTACATGTGGTGTGGCTAACATAGGATCTTGCTTTACAAGGGAGGGTGGCTAACATGAAATCTTGCTTTACAAGGGGGTGAGGGGGGGCTAACATGAAATCTTGCTTCACATGGGGTGTGGCCAACATGAAATCTTGCTTTACATGTGGAGTGGCTAAAATAGGATCTTGCTTTACAAGGGAGGGTGGCTAACATGAAATCTTGCTTCACATGGGGTGTGGCCAACATGAAATCTTGCTTTACAAGGGTGGTGGTGGTGGCTAACATGTAATCTTGCTTAACAAGGGGGGTAGGGTAGGCTAACATGAAATCTTGCTTCACATGGGGTGTGGCCAACATGAAATCTTGCTTTACAGGTTAAGGGGTCTGGCTAACATAGGTTATTGCTTTACATGGGGTGTGACTAATATAGGGTAGTGGCTAAAATGAAATCTTGCTTTATAAGGGAGGGAGGCTAACATGAAATCTTGCTTCACATGGGGTGTGGCCAACATGAAATCTTGCTTTACATGTGGAGTGGCTAAAATAGGATCTTGCTTTACAAGGGGTGTGGCTAACATGGGATATTGCTTTACATGGGGTGTGACTAACATAGGATCTTGCTTTCCATGGGGTGTGGCTAACATGAAATTTTCCTTTACAAGGGGTGTGGCTAACATGAAATCTTCCTTTACACGGGGTGTGGCTATCATGACATCTTGCTTTACATGGGGTGTGGCTAACATGAAATCTTGCTTTACGAGGGTAGTGGCTAAAATGAAATCTTGCTTTATAAGGGAGGGTGGCTAACATGAAATCTTGCTTTACAAGTTAAGGGGTCTGGCTAACATAGGATATTGCTTTACATGGGGTGTGACTAATATAGGATCTTGCTTTACATGGGGTGTGGCTAACATGAAATCTTCCTTTACAAGGGGTGTGGCTATCATGGCATCTTGCTTTACATGGGGTGTGGCTAACATAGGATCTTGCTTTACAAGGGGGGGGGGGGAGATGGCTAACATGAAATCTTGCTTTACAAGGGAGGGTGGCTAACATGAAATCTTGCTTTACAAGTTAAGGGGTCTGGCTAACATAGGATATTGCTTTACATGGGGTGTGGCTAACATAGGATCTTGCTCTACATGGGCTGTGGCTAACATGAAATCTTCCTTTACAAGGGGTGTGGCTATCATTACATCTTGCTTTACATGGGGTGTGGCTAACATAGGATCTTGCTCTACATGGGCTGTGGCTAACATGAAATCTTCCTTTACAAGCGGTGTGGCTATCATTACATCTTGCTTTACATGGGGTGTGGCTAACACAGGATCTTGCTTTACATTGGGTGTGGCTAATATGAAATCTTGCTTTACAAGGGAGGGTGGCTAACATGAAATCTTGCTTTACAAGTTAAGGGGTCTGGCTAACATAGGATATTGCTTTACATGGGGTGTGGCTAACATGGGATCTTGCTTTACATGGGGTGTGGCTAACACAGGATCTTGCTTTACATTGGGTGTGGCTAACATGAAATCTTGCTTTACAAGAGGTGTGGCTAACATGAAATCTTGTTTTACAAGGGTCTGGCTAACATAGGATCTTGCTTTACAAGGGGTGTGTGGCTAACAAGAAATATTGCTTTACAACGGGTGTGGCTAACATGAAATCTTGCTTTACATGGGGTGTGGCTAACATGAAATGTTGCTTCACATGGGTTGTGGCCAACATGAAATCTTGCTTTACATGGGGTGTGGCTAACATAGGATATTGCTTTACATTGGGTGTGGCTAACATGAAATCTTGCTTTACATGTGGAGTGGCTAACATAGGATCTTGCTTTACAAGGGGGGGGGGGAGATGGCTAACATGAAATCTTGCTTTACAAGGGAGGGTGGATAACATAGGATATTGCTTTACATTGGGTGTGGCTAACATGAAATCTTGCTTTACATGGGGTGTGGCTAACATGAAATTTTGCTTCACATGGGAAGTGGCCAACATGAAATCTTGCTTTACATGGGGTGTGGCTTACATAGGATCTTGCTTTTCATGTGGTGTGGCTAACATAGGATCTTGCTTTACAAGGGGTGTGTGCCTAACAAGAAATATTGCTTTACAACGGGTGTGGCTAACATGAAATCTTGCTTTACATGTGGTGTGGCTAACATAGGATCTTGCTTTACAAGGGGGGGGGGGAGATGGCTAACATGAAATCTTGCTTTACATGGGGTGTGGCTTACATAGGATCTTGCTTTTCATGTGGTGTGGCTAACATAGGATCTTGCTTTACAAGGGGTGTGTGCCTAACAAGAAATATTGCTTTACAACGGGTGTGGCTAACATGAAATCTTGCTTTACAAGGGTGGTGGTGGTGGCTAACATGTAATCTTGCTTAACAAGGGGGGTAGGGTAGGCTAACATGAAATCTTGCTTTACAAGAGGTGTGGCTAACATGAAATCTTGTTTTACAAGGGTCTGGCTAACATAGGATCTTGCTTTACAAGGGGTGTGGCTAACATGAAATGTTGCTTTACATGGGGTGTGGCTTACATGAAATCTTGCTTCACATGGGGGGTGGCCAACATGAAATCTTGCTTTACATGGGGTGTGGCTAACATAGAATCTTGCTTTACATGGGGTGTGGCTAACATAGAATCTTGCTTTACATGGGGTGTGGCTAACATAGAATCTTGCTTTACATGGGGTGTGGCTAACATGAAATCTTGCTTTACAAAGATTGTGGCTTACATAAGATCTTGCTTTACATTGGGTGTGGCTAATATGAAATCTTGCTTTGGAAGGGGTGTGGCTAACATAGGATCTTGCTTTACAAGGGGGGGGGGGAGATGGCTAACATGAAATCTTGCTTTACAAGGGAGGGTGGATAACATAGGATATTGCTTTACATTGGGTGTGGCTAACATAGGATATTGCTTTACATTGGGTGTGGCTAACATAGGATATTGCTTTACATTGGGTGTGGCTAACATAGGATCTTGCTTTACAAGGGGTGTGGCTATCATGAAATCTTGCTTTACATGGGGTGTGGCTAACATGAAATCTTCCTTTACAAGGGGTGTGGCTATCATGACATCTTGCTTTACATGGGGTGTGGCTAACATAGGATCTTGCTTTACAAGGGGGGGGGGGAGATGGCTAACATGAAATCTTGCTTTACAAGGGAGGGTGGATAACATAGGATATTGCTTTACATTGGGTGTGGCTAACATAGGATATTGCTTTACATTGGGTGTGGCTAACATGAAATCTTGCTTTACATGGGGTGTGGCTAACATAGAATCTTGCTTTACATGGGGTGTGGCTAACATGAAATCTTGCTTTACATGTGGTGTGGCTAACATAGGATCTTGCTTTACAAGGGGTGTGGCTAACATGAAATCTTGCTTTACAAAGATTGTGGCTTACATAAGATCTTGCTTTACATTGGGTGTGGCTAATATGAAATCTTGCTTTGGAAGGGGTGTGGCTAACATAGGATCTTGCTTTACATTGGGTGTGGCTAACATAGGATCTTGCTTTACATGGGTTGTGGCTAACATAGGATCTTGCTTTACATTGGGTGTGGCTTACATGAAATCTTGCTTTACAAGGGGGGATGGCTAACATGAAATCTTGCTTTACATGGGGTGTGGCTAACATGAAATTTTGCTTCACATGGGGTTTGGCCAACATGAAATCTTGCTTTACATGGGGTGTGGCCAACATGAAATCTTGCTTTACATGGGGTGTGACTAACATAGGATCTTACTTTACATGGGGTGTGGCCAACATAGCATCTTGCTTTACATGGGGTGTGGCTAAACTAGAAACTTGGTTTGTATTTGGTGTGGCTAGCAAAATCCTGGCTTAATATATCTGCTATGGCTAATATATAATCTTGATTTACATGTGGTTTAAACATAAATCCTAGAATGCATCAGTACTGCTAAGCTATAACTATTGTTTGTATTAGGTGTGGCTAACATAGGTATTGGATGTGGTTTTTGTATCAGGTGAGGCATGGTATTTCTTAACATCTTAAACAGTGTTTTTTTTCAGATATGAACAAGGTTGCCATGGCGCAGTACATAATACACCTGTCATTTGTTGAATGAGCAGTTGTTTGTATCGATATAATATATGAAATATTTATGAGTATAATTGATGTTCAAGGAGAAATAATTCAACATACCTGGTAGATCAATGCATGCAATAAATCTCATGGAATGCATGCAGTAAATGTTTTGCTTTAAGAAACCAAGGGGAAGATTAACTAAATTTGTTATGGTCAGATAATAGTGATTTAACACTCACTCAACTAATTTAGGGGTTATCACTCCACTAATTATGATCAGATAGTGGTTGTCCAAGCTTATGAAGTTTGAAGTTAATCTGTTGAAAATAACTTGAGGTTTAGAGCAGGTACTGTTTCAGCAATTTAATAAAGGTCATAACTCCGTAAATTACGGCCAGATAATGGTGGATATAGAGGTAGCAGAGTACAGTAGAAATGGTCTGATCCTAAAAATAAAGGGCATGTCTCAGATAAACACGGATAGTGGATTCAACCTGCACAACACACCTACATATATATATAAATTTATGAACTACATTTTAAATGCATTTTGTTTAGAAGACTGATTTTTTTTTCAAAAAATGTTTTCCTCAGATTTGGGACTTGTGAAAACCATGGTTACCACATAGAAAAAACACCAAAAAATGCAAAAAAAAACATGATTTGTAACCAAAAGTTTGACCCCTGCAAGTAGTTTTTTTTTTTAAACCTGTCTTAAATTAAATATCGTCTACACCGTACCAAAAAAATACTCACGTTTTAGCATAGGGTATTACAGTGGATTTTTCACAATATTTACACATGTATAGACGACATGAACAGCTAGCTTTTATTGTGTATACACAGATTTGTAATGCCCAAAACTGAAGTCTCAAAGTGAATTCAATTTTTTTTTGAGAAAAATAATGGAAGCCCACATAGTCTACTTCATCATGTATTTGCCAATTTTAGTGCTGATTTTTTTATTTTTTTTATTTGATATATATATTACAGGTGTTATTCATTGTACACAAATATCCCCCATGGCCACCGTACGCCACTGTACACTGCTACCAGAACTCTTTTGAGCTTTCCTGGTTAATCTGTTGAAAATTACTTCCGGGTTTGAGCGTACATCATTTTGGCAATCAAATAAAAGGGCATTACTCAGTAAATTACAGTCAGATAATGGTGGTTATGGAACTTTTGAGGTAATCAACCTTCATATGAAGATTGAAATTAATCTGTTGAAAGTTACTTGAGATATCGAGTGGACACAATGCCCCAATCCACCTATCCGCCTAAACATGAATACATAATATTTCCTGTCTTTGCTGGGGTGGGGTCATTGGTAGTGCTATATTGACAGACTTTCAAATGATCCCTCACTCTGTTAAATAAATTTACCTTGTTTGGTTTCTTTAGGTGAAATAGTCTTGATGTTGTATTTATTTGGCGATACATATCTGGATATTTGTTTAAAGAGTTGTTCCACATTTTCCTCTTTAGCTCCCTCTCCTTTGTATATTAACACATTGCTGAGAGATCGAGAGGAAGACATCTTAAAAAATGTCACTGTTGTTCCCTTCAAACAAAGAGCCTGGAAAGAAAAAATACATTCTGTAACATTCATGTTCATGTACAAATATCAAAATATGACAAATGGGAATCATTCTTGATCATTTCATATAAGTTAATTTAAGGCAGGTGGGGATGTTGTTGTATAAATGTCCACTGGAGGGTTTGATAATAAGCTGCTTTCTTTCATAATAGCGTCAGTTGATCAACATGGTCAGATGAAACTTTGAACAGTTTCCAGAAATTGCTGCAGTGTTTTGCTATGGCAGTGGTGCATTTGTTTGGAAACACTGTGTATTTCTAATTCAAATACCACTCCACAAACCCTAAATATGGCCGTTCCTCAGGATCGATACTACTGAACTAAAATCATTTATTTCTTCAAAACCCCAGCACCATCACAATTATTATAGACAGCCCATAATTTACCAAACGCAAGATTATTTGTCAGCACAACATATTACTGATGTGTTATATATGAATGAGAATTTTAGTCTGGACAAGTATCTGGAATATGTTCAGCCATTAAGTTGACAACAATGATGCTATTCCTAAGCATTGAAATGGTCATCTGGATTGTATTACTAAATATATACCTGATTTCTGAGCAATGCAACTGTTCTTTCTAATCCAAGCACAGGTATTTGCCTCGACAAAGGGGGGCGTCTACTATACACACAATACACTGTGTATTATGTGTAAAAATATATCTTCCCCTTTTTTCAAAGATACTGATGATCTAGCCAGAGTTTCCTCTGGCCCTGACACCAGATTGACTTAGACATTTTGCTAGATGTCTGGTGTGGTACACCAAACACCTATCTGTCAAATGTCTAAGTCTAGTGTCAGGGCCAGAGGAAACTCGGACTACCTAGGATCCTATACATAGGCAGCACATTGTTATTGCAGAGCGTTCAATTATGTGAACTTTCAATTTACAGTATTTAATCACACAAATAGATTAGATGCTGTTAACAAGTCTGTGCTATCTTGGTCCGTGATTTGATTAATCATACTGCTAATGTAATTATTCAAGGATTGACCTTCATTTTGACAGCGTATATGGTAGTTTGAACCTATACTACGCGTATACACCATCAAAATGATGAGGACAATCCTTAAGTGTTTTTCAAACTTTCAAATAAACGATCATTTAATATGCAAGCCATATATTCTTTTTTTTTGCGCCCTCATGTGTAGGGGTGCTGTCATAAGTCATTTTGATTGACCCACACATCACTCAGTCGCTATCTACATCTGCATCTACATTGTACCTCGAAGCAGTCACACTTGACTATCACAAGACGGTGAAACAAGTTCAAGAAGAGATTTTGAAAGAATAGATAGTAGGAAGAGGTTTGGTAGTTATAAGGTAGAAACTGAAAGTAGAAATAAAGTGTGTCCGGCTAAGTTTTCACCTTTTCAACCCAGTCCTCTCTGGTTACGGTGGCTGTGGCCAGCACAGCAATGCAAATCACTAGGAGCTACTTGTTGCTGGACCCCTACGAACTAGAATACGAGTGTTGATAGCCCCTGCTTGAAGGGTACCAAGTCAGGGGGGCGTCTGCTACGCCGGCGCATAGGCTGTTCTATAATGTAGCTGTTCATGGAAAGAATGAGTTTCTGTAGTATGATGTGGATGTAGAAGGCTGGCGGAATTTCCTTGAGTGGGAGGATCTTGTATGTCCCTGGGTTGGGGTGAGGTACTGGCTGACTCGGGTATGTCCACAAGGTCGTTGGCGATCTTGAATATTATTGTCAGCTGGCATGGGCTTTGGTCCCACGAGATTCTAGGGTTTCCCATCCCAGTTGTCAAGCATGGAGGAGGCACTGCTGGTGTTGTGCGATCAGTGGTAACATATCTGGCAGCTCTCCTCTGAACCATCTCCAGCCTGTGTGTCTGGTCCTTGGTGTACAGGTTCCAGACTGTGGAACAGTACTCCAGGTTTGGTCGTACAAGTGTTTTATAAGCCTTACCCATTACCTCTTCATTGCTGATACGTAGGTTGCGTGAAGGAAACCGAGCGTGCTGTTAGAGAGCCTTGTCTGTCAATACACCTATATAAGATTGTATTAAAGGTGTATTGATAGATGATGGTAGTACTTGTGGTTAGATCACATGAGTTCGTTACAAATGTCTGAAATACACATATGCTATACTGTATCATATCATATCAGTATAGCATATATGTGTATTTCAGACATTTGTCACATTTGTAATGAACCCCTATCGTGCTATATAAAACGCGCATGATCGGATTTGTGGTTGTCGCTTTTATGTATTATGATTTTATATTCTCAAACGTTAGAATTAATAATCAATTTGGAATACATACATGAAACAACTTGGAAATATGCGTGTTCCACATGCAGACCTTCCGGTTTGGCGCCGAGACAAAACGAAAGTAAACATTTAACGGAAGTTAATAAAAATTAGGCGGATCACGGAACGATCTCGATTAAATGGGACCCGATCTTTACCATAGGGTTATACGTAGAAATGTATGTGGATGACAAATTGTTTTACTAACATTTGATACTAACATTGCTATAAACCATTAACCGAAGAAAATAGTAAATATTGCCATCACTACAACTTATATATTTCACATTATATATTCATAATTCTAACATATTATACAACTTGATGTAGCATATAAATCATAGTTCTAGTTCTACCAATAGTGACCACCTTTAACTAATTGAAGATTTTGTCACGAAATTGGGTTTACAGCGCAAATGGCAGACTATATATATTACATAATGATTAATATTTATCCACTTAATTTGAAGTTAAGAGAAGGAAAATTTAATTCGAGGAGAGTCCGAGAGAGACGTCCGAACAAGCCAGTGATTGGGCAACCCCCACCTACAAAGCTTTTTCGGAAAAGAGAAAAAAGAAGAGAAGTGGTAAATTATTATGTAAAGTCTGTTGAAGTAACTAATTACTCTGCATCTTCAATTTTATAGGTGTGCCTTGAAAGAGTTGAAAGTGGATGCATTAACGATGTCAGATGGTAATTAGTTCCAGTCTAGTATGGTACGAGGAAAAATGATTGTTGTCTAGTTTGTGCACGTGTTTTCGAGTATTGCTGTTGGTATTGGACCTGGTGGGAATTTCTAGGAATTCTTCTGGCTCGGTGCATCCTGTCAGTCGTGGATATGGGCCACCGTGTCCTGATGAATTTTATAGAACATCTTTAGGCGTGCACCTTTCCTACGATCTGAGAGGCTGCACCTTTATAACTTATGTTCTGTCAGTAGCGAAGCTGCCTTAGGCTCAAGTAGGCAGGTGCCTACACCTAATTTTCTTCATTTCTTTTTAAATTTCTAGTCAGCGTAAATTCATATAATTGAAAAATTGAGTAAAAAAGACCTTGTAACACATATGCATAAGCGCACTAGAGTCTACAACTTTCAAGCTGAACATTAAACATGGAGTATTACCACAACCAACTGTGAACAAGTTTATGGTCCGGAAATTGGAAACATCACAAGTCCAGAGACCCAATCAGAGGACCCCCAACCCCTTGTTGGTAATGTTATGGTTGTTCAGTAATGTTATAAAGCTGTTAAGGTTCATTGCTGTGGCAATCACCTCCGGTAGACTGTTCCATGTTGTTATTGTTCTATTGCTGAAGACATTTTTATTTACTCCAAGGCGAAACGGTTTCTTGAACAGCTTTTTTGGAGGCCCCTGGTCCCGGTTTAAATATAATTATGTTCATTGTCTACATGGTCGATATTATTTAGGATCATATAGATTTCGATGAGGTCGGCTCTTTCCCATCTATAATCGAGTGTAGGCAGTCCCAGTTTTCGTAGCCTTTCATCGTATGGTAGATTTGATATATCTTTGAACCGTTTTATAGCCATTTTTGCACATTTTCAATGGGAAATTGGTCTTTGATAAAGATTGGGGACCATATAGGTGTTCCATACTCTAAATGTGGTCTGACGAGTGATGTGTACAATAGAGTAAACATGACTGCGTCCATATATGTGAAAGTACGGAAGATAGTACCCAGGATTGTGTTAGCCTTTGTAACTGCTACGTTAACATGGTCTGAAAATCTCAATTTACTGTCTATGGTGACGCCAAGATCCTTCTCGTTTTCTACTTTCTCTATTTCAGTTGTACTATCTGGAAAATGTAAATTATAGATGTGGTTACTTCCCCTGAATTTTACAATGTCCATGTGTTTACACTTGTCGATGTTTAATTTCATTAACCAGTCGTCAGTCCACGTACACACGTTGACTATGTTGTCCTGAAGAAGTTTACGGTCTTCGCTGTTGGAGATTTTTGAATATAATTTTGTGTCGTCCGCAAACAGTGTGATGGTACAATCGATGACTTCAGGCATGTCATTGACATATATCCAAAATTGGTCCTTAAACGCTACCCTGAGTTAGTGGTGACTGGCTTACCTTTTGAGAATTTTCCATTTATTACCACTTCTTGTTCTGTTCTGGTTTCTTGGTTGAGATATCTTCCTCACTGGTATACATTTCCTTATTTCTTGAGTCAAGAAGACAGCAAAAGTTTATCCCAAGCTTCCAAAACTCCATTACAGTTACTCAGATCCTCAGCATCAGAGTGGATGTATTTGCCTTTGTCGAAGTTAAACCGTTTTAGATCTACTTCCTCCTGGAATGGTGTGGTGGAGTTATAAGTACACATATCAAAACGTAAGGTCAAATGGTCACTTCTTCCTAATGATGGTAAATAGCTAATGTCATCAATCATTTCTTCCTCATTCGTAAAGATAATGTCCAAACTATTTGGAATTTGTCCTTCGTAGTATCTAGTTGGGTGCTTAACATGTTGGTAGATGAAACCGCCTCTCTCGTGTTTCAAGAAATTTTGTGGCTGAATGTTTTTCCCTTGTGATTGTTGATCCGACTTCCCAGTTTATTTCATTAAAATTAAAGTCTCCCAAAATTAGTAAATGGGAATAATGTAGAGAATACAATTTCCGAAGGAGGTCAAATAGGCGATCGTTGTTTTGTTCTGTGTTGTTAGGGCTTCTATGTATGCAGCACACATGTAACGAGTCCCTGTTTTGGAGGTTTATTGAGCAAGCTACAAATTCGTCAAAATCCACATCGAAGTCTAATTTTTCACTTATTAGGTTTCTTGAGACGTATATTCCGATACCACGCTTTTTTGGTTCACTGTAGTACGAGTTAAAGTTATCCACATCATAAATTAAGTGTCCAACGGTAAACAGTTACTTTTTGGAAACATTTCAGTTAGACATGCCATGTCCAAATCTTCCATTGTATATATGTTCCACTAGTTCGGATTTGTTTGTGTTGGTCATGACGTTTACGTTAGAATACAAACATCGGATTGGATTTCCTGGTATAGCTTTACCTGGTAATATAGTTACCGATGTCCAGTGTTACCATATCATTACAACAGACTTCCTATATTGGAGTCCTGGAATTTATATTGTCCCCTGGAGTGTTTAAGATTTCACGTTCCTGTGGTCCTTCCTGATATATTCGAGTCGTTTTTTACCTCAGATATCACAGTCGAGTTCAGATAGACGTTTTTGTGTGTCCATATCATCATTTTCTGACACATTTCCAGACATTATTGGGCTAGGTGGCCCCAATAGTTGAGGGTGCGAGTTGAATCGAGTGTTCCGTACCTACCGGTTCTGATTTGTCATTTACACATGTAGTACCCCGTGCAGCCGTGTTCACATTCCTGATAGGCGGCTCTGTGGCGGAGCAATCCCCAAACAGCAGAGCCTGACCTATATGACATAGAACTGTGAGTACTGACAGAGATGCTACGTGTACTCGGGGAATGCGTTGAGCACTGGGAACTGCTGGTCAGATGTGACCTTATAGTGCCGTCCTGTCTATGACGGACTGTTGGGGACGAATGTCGATCCATGTGTGATTGATCCATAAATAGCTGGGTAGTCCCTAATTGCCTTGATAATACCTGGGTTTGTTCGTTTCTGTTGTCTAGTGTCTGACCACCGTGGAGATTGTCCTCGTTTCTTCCTCCTTCCTTTTTATACTTCTCCATTTTTTGTTTCCTTTGCTCCCACTGCTGTTTTGTGAGATCCAGTGTAAGGATAATGCCTTTCAAGTTATCTTGTGCCTTAGTCTGTATAAAGCGTGCATTTTCTAATAGGAATTTCTGCTGGGATTTGTTTCCTATAATGGCAACCAAGCCTTATATTTTCCGAGACGGAAAGACGTCAGAACTTCTATACCCTCTACTCCTAGGCTGTCACTTAGGCTTTTGATATCCTCCTCATCTGCAGATTTATTTCTGTACCTATTTTCACTAGTTTTCTCTTGTACGTTGAACAGGATTATGTTAGATTCCTTTGAATTCCTTTCCTGTAGTTCCTTATGTCTACTGTCCGCCATGTTTATTACATCATGTTGTATTTGGTCAATGAGGTCCACTTTAGTTTGACGTAGCTTATCTCGTATAATTTCACCTGTATTTACTTCGTGTCACTTAACCTGGTTTCAATCACTGATAGCCTAGCATTATTTTTTTTCACTTTTTTGCTTGTTTACATGATAACTCAAACAATTGTTCTCAGATTTTTTTATTAAACTATTTGTTTGTTTCATTTACTGAATGCTTTGAATGAGTTCTTAAATCGTGACATTTAAACGCTATTCGGCAGAGCTATGCCCCTTTTTCATTGCAAAATAAGGGCATTCCGTCGAAAATGCAAGAACTTTTTAATTATTTGTTCAAGACTCCTACCTCAAAACCAAGGTTCTAGTTTAAGTAATAGCAACATTGACCGCGAATTCAGTTTATAAATTTTTGGATAATAATGAGTGGTTATTCTACTTTAAAATCATTTTATACAATATTGTCAGCGGGAAAAAGTTGAAAATCCTGCTAAAATCCCCACATTTAAATCATAATCACTCATTCAGATATGATTTCGTGCTGTCTGTATATATGTTATCATAAAACGAACTGGTACACTTAGTCAATTGCTTTTTTATTAAACTTCAAAAACTGCTGTCGTTAACCTAAAAAAATACACATTTTCAGCAAATTTGCTCAAGTGCCTACACAAGATTAATATCCCAGCTACGCCTCTGAACATATAATCAGCGTTCTTTGTTAGGAGAGTGTTATATTTGACGGTTTCAGCCAGGGATACGACGCCCGTAAACGATAACAATCAGGCTTATTATTCGTTTGCAAGGTAAGGTAAGATCCTCTACAAAGTATTTCTATAGGATCTGACGGTAACTGATGTTGAGATAACTGCGTTGACTGATCATGCTTAAATTGCTCAGTGAGTTCCTCAACCAAGCGATTCTAACTTCTAGCCACCATTACCAGTACTATGACGTACGTGTCAGTCGTATCGTGACACTGTTTATCCCACGAGTGGTATTATCTGGAAGAATTCAAACACGTACCTCATACCATACCGAAGAAACATTTTCATAATCTTATTATGACAGATTTTGCGATCTGTTTTCACTTTTGGAGAATATTGTGTATCCTAGGATGAAATCGTAAGTATGATTGAATTTCTGGTTGACAATTTATTTGTTGTGTTCGATGGCAAGATTTTTCCGCATACTGGTTTCATACCCATTGGGACAAATACA